TAAATATAGAGAATTGTACTATCTATGTACGTATAAATGTATGTTTGTATATGTGTATATTTATATTATAAATTATTGATGTTTGTAGTCTGTACCTACACCGCACCGCATTATTATTTTTATATTTTCTCACGCTTGAGGGTTTCTGGTAGAGATCTCTTAAAGAGATAAGTCATCCTTTGTACACATGGTATTTGTTTTCACTTGTAGGTTTTTCTCTGGTACATAAAAAATAAATAAATAGAATAAATTACAGAATTCAAGATTGTAAATAACGTTATAAATGTGCTAAATAATATTATGAAAATGTTATCAAAATGATAAGAAACTAGTTAATGGCGTAAATATAACATCACAAACCGTTACGGATAAATTGTCATTTAAAAATCAGCTAAGTGCGAGTTATATTTGCCCATTAGAGGTTCTGTATATTAATTTCCATAATGAAATTCGCATATTGAGAGAAGGATTATATTAAGAGAGAGACTAAGAGGTAAGTGCACCAAGAGCAATAAATTTTTAAACTCAAATTCAATTCTTCAAAACTAATTATTCCACACCTAGGGCTGGACTTTATGAAATGTATTTAAAAAAAAAAAAAAAAATTATAGACATCAACCCAGCGGTCACGAAAATAGACAAATAGGACGTACTCTTATTTGAAGTCGGTCAAAAATGGATCATTATACAATTTCATAAAACCTTGTGTAGTGCAAATTTAATATAATATTACTAGCAATTCACTTCGCTTCGCTCGGGTTCGTCCCTAGAGAAAAACAAAAAAATCTACCCCACGGGAACCGTACATTTTTTCAAGACAAAAAATAGCCTATTGCTATTCCAGACTTTAATATCCCAAATTTATATAAATATATAATATAAATTTCATCCAGATGCGTTCAGCCATTCTAGCGTAATGGAGTAACAAACATCCATCCATCCAAACTTTCGTATTTATATAGTACAGTAAGTTGCATACTCTTTCGATTACACCAAATAACCTAGCTTACGAGTGATAGAAATTAAAAAAAAATATTGATGGAGCTTGTATCTTTAACTTTAATAAGCAAAACGAGAGGTTTCTTGTCTCTTAAGATTTAGCCAGCGTTAGCCAATTAAAGTATACAAATACAATTTTTTTGACAAATTACCATCATAGCCCAGCCATTTGGTAACAAATATTTAAATTAAGATCCGCTCTGTACTTTTTGTGTGAAAAGCGAACAAACGAACAGACAAAAATATCAATTACCATCACAGCAGTAATTGTTTTTAAAAAAAATAATCATGTACAGATTGCTTTATTGCTTTTTTGTTATGTGTAAAGACAATTTTATAAATTTTACGCTTTTAAGTCGTTTGTGTTAACGATATCAACATTTTATGTTCAACTTAGATTAATTTATTTTATTGTATAAATAATTGTATTTGGGCAGAGAATATTACATATATAATTGTCATGCTACTTTTAAAGGTCATAAGAAATTTCAGTCGTAAATAATTACATACTAACCAATAACATACTTAAATATCGCGAATATATCTTTTTACTTTTTTAAATTAAAAAAAAATCGGACAAGTGCGCGTCTGTTTTGCGCACCGATGGTTCTACACCAAAAATTTGTTATTAAGCTACTACATTGGCGAAAATATAATCTGTACTCAAATGGCACGTTTTGAGGCTATTAGGATTTTTTTTTAATTTAATACCCGATATTTTAAAATTTAAATCTAGATAAGGACATAATTCTTCTATCTAAAAAAAGTTAAAGTTAAAAAAAAAGTTTGATGAAAATTATATTTTTAACCGACTTCCAAAAGGAGGGGTTCTCAATTTGTCGCAATCTTTTTTCTATGTATGTTCACCGATTACTCGAAAATGCCTGAAACGATTTGGAATTTCTGTAATTTGTTTCGAAGGATATATTTCCCCTGGGACCTGTCCCATTAAAATTTTATCGAAATCGATCGTGCGGTTTTTAAAAAATCAACATCAAATTATTTTTTAAATAAATTGCTTAATCGAATATGTTCTTAAAAAACTTTCTTCTTACAAATTACCTGCTTATTACGTGTATACTAAAAATGGAAAAATAAAAACTTAAAAACTAAATAAAACCGACTTCCAGGCACTAAAATTAAAAAAAATAACTAAACGGGGGTTTTCATTTCGAATAGATACCTAATCAGATATTTTCGAAGTCGGTGCCAGCCGACAATATTTTAAGATAATATCTAACAGGTAAATATGATTAGGTATGAATTCTAATTGTAGTTAAAATATTATACATCAATTTGTGATGTATTTTACGTATCCAAATATATTAGGTTTGCTTTGTATCGGCTGGCATCGACTTCGAAAATATCTGATTAGGTATCTATACTAAATGAAAACCCTCATTTAGTTATTTTTTTACGCAACACTTATAATTTTGTTGTCTTTCTTAAGCTTAATTTATTTAGTTTAAGTTTTTGGTTAAGTCTTAAAAAATGAAAAATACGCAACTTACTTAGACAATTTGTTTAAATAGTTCGATTGATTTAAATATAAATCAGTAGTTGCTGAGTAATACGGAAAGATTTCAATAATAAAACTGGCTGTGATTGTGAATTTATGTGTGTGTGATGTGATACGAACAGAAAGAGAACAAGCGTTTTAGCCCTTTGTTTACGGAACACTAAAAATCTGACAAAGAAATTTGTATTTTTAACGATATTATTATGTATTATAGTGAATGACGTCATATATTTTATAAACTACGTACTAAATATACTTCAGTAAATAACATTAACCCGCTTTTAAGCAAAACAAAAATTAGCAAAATACGTAAATCTAAACATAAGCAAGTTTATTATATAAAGAAAAGCTTAAACATAAATAAATATACTTATTTCTGGATAAACAGGCAATGTATTATTTAAATATCTTTATATTATACTAGCTTTTGCAAGCAGTTCCGCTGATATTCCTAAAGATTGCGTAATGCTCATATGAATACGAGTATAATCGTGGACATGACTCGAGTTATGTAACCCAACACGTGGGCTATTTAGATATCCTTCTCGGAAGGATCTTATACTTTTAAACGTATCGTCCTTTAGATATTTCTTAAAAGGATCTATTATTGTTAACAATGTACAAGTGAAACAATTAAATGTAATGAATTTTTAGATCCTTATTAAAGGCATCTATTATTATAAGAAATGTTCATGTCAAACAATTGAGTTGTAACAGATGGTAAGCAGTTACGCATAAATAGTTTATGGGTCTTTTTTTGCGATGGGAACCCACTCACACTACTGCACTCATGCTAGTATAAAATCTTAGAAAATAAGTTATTAAAATTAGTTGTACTTGTCCTTTCGACGTAAACGTTGTTTTATTACAACCCCATCCCGATAACTTAACTCGGGTCTTTTTTTTTTACTTGTATTCTGGATTACCTACTATCTCTTTTTAGGAACAAACAATAATCCACCATCATTATAGGGTCCAAGTAGCGATGATATCTCTGTTCCATTGTTAAAATATCTTATTTGTTTTTAAACTACATAGCCAATAGGGCATTACTCATACATTTTTTCAAAAAAACGTTTTTTATGTTATTCGAAATTTAAAAAACCCGATGACGTAAAGAAGTGAACTAAAAATATGGGAACAAGTTGACGAAGGGATGTAATTATGCAGTCTATTATATGGAGTGTATTAGGTATAGACTAAAAGTGAGCTTTTCGTTATATGCCCAGGGCTCGTGCCTAGGGCCCTCAACGAGTGCCTACTGTATTTAGTACATTTTCATTTAGGTACACATATTATAACCGCAAATTTAATACCTGATTAAATTATAAACACCTTAATAAATAGAAGAATAGGTTTAATTTATAAATATTTAACCATAGATTTTTTTATCAGGTAGGTTTATTATTTAATAAAATAAATAACAATAAAATAAGTTTTTTATTTCTTAATCATCTTTACAATTTTATGTTCGAGTCTTCCCAGTAAGTAATCCGAGGATACTTGTGTTGGGAATGGCCGCCTCTTCCCATATGCATACTCTATGATTAAGTGGTTGATTTTTTTTAAACACTATATAATACTAATATAGGATATTAGAATAGTTACAAGATTAAAGTGATTTAATGTAAAAAAATATACAAAATTACAATATTAACAACTGAAAGTTGTTATTGCCTGTAGAATTTCACTAGTTTAATTTTATAATTTTAGGAAATTACTATTTTAACGGTAAGTAATATCATGTGAGTAGAACACTTGGATATAAACAAAGTCTTTGTAAGCTAGTTTTCAATAACAGTTTCATTCGGTTTAACATCAAGATGAACTAATCGATAATATTAGATTTAAATTTATCCAAATCTCTATACTACATACACTACACTATAGAAAGTTTAACAATTCTTTAAAATAAATTAATAAACACATAACTCAGTAAGCTTGTTAATTATAATTTATAAATAAATAATGTTATAAGTATATAAAATAAATATACACTACAATTTTGTAGTGCTTCGGCGCCATTTTGTATTGCTTCGCCGCCATTTCGTGTACCGATTTTGAAATGTTCCGCAATGTACTGTTCTTCGAAACATTCATCTGTTATATTCAATGATCGGTTTCTGATGACACATGCATAATATAGTGCAGATTTTCGTGGTGTCCTCGTACGATTGGGATGACCAAAATCTACTTCATATAGACCGAATTTTGTTCTGAAAAAAGAATTCGTGTAAAAATTTTAGATTATATTTCAAAATGTTAATACGGGACTGTCAACTCAAATTCTAAGTGAATATCTTAATAACATCCCCTATAAATATATAATAATTATAATAATTACTATTTTCAGTAAAATAACTAATAATTTAAAAACAATACGAGAAATTCGGTCAGCAAATCCACAAGCATATTTTTTATATGGTCATATTTTGACTCTACATATGTTAAACATTTAACGTAAATAAATTATGGTACTCACGTGAAACCATCCAACCATTCAAAATTATCAATGAGCGACCACATTGAGTATCCGGTGACACTCACATTATCTTCTTTAATTGCAAGAAGAATCTGCAAAATGATTACCAGAAAAATATTTAATAAATTATTTGCAATAGTAGGTACTACGTAATATCTAATGTTCTAACCTAGCCAAATGCACGGAACAAATTGTCTGTAGTTCAGTTTGTGTATTTGCTAACTTTAGACTAAAGAATTATATAAACAGAGCCCGCCAAAAAAATTCAAAGTCAAAAATAGTATAGTGATTTTACTGTTTAAGCTACTATTTTCGATTTTGCCATACAGATTATTTACTTTATTTTAAGATTATGGGAAATGAATGAAAATGAAAAAAGATTTTATATAGGTATTAGTCGTTCATTTACAATTTTTGAAGAGAAAATATTCTTTTCTATTGGTAATAATTATTATAATTTAAGAATTCTCTTCCTTCCCAGATGGAAGAGAGATGGCATAATAATAGCTAATTTAATTTATTTGTCTTTATTATAATAGAATTCTTTAAATAAATTTTAATTTTATGACGCTCTGTCTGTATTATTTCATAGTTTGAGGTGTCAACTCTTTTTCCCGTGGGATAATTTCACACTGTTGGTGAGCCATCAATCGCACTAACGGCAGTTTAACATTATCTTTCATCACAAAATCAACTTAAGGTATGCTAAAAATAATTTCGTTATAGAAAAACCGAAAACTTATTTTGACTCTAACTACGTGGCTAATCGCGCTTTAATTCGCCACGAGAGGACGCTAGTGTAGAGTGAAGTCTCTTACACCATTCATGATTATTGTAAAGATTGCGCAATTCCTGATTAATTATGGTAGACACGGTTACAGTCAATATTTCATTTATTTGATTATTATTAATTATTATTTAAAATCCCGATAGAGCTGTTTTGTTGCTAGCAATTATAGTTATTTAATACTTTCTTAGATTTATGCGAATATTTGATATTTTAAAGAAAACTATCTTTCCGGATTTAATCAAATAAAATAAATATTGTGGGTAGGCTGTTTGTAACAACTATATAATACCTTTGAGACATCTAACACCTTAGTCTCTCCCGTCACCATGATTGATGTAAAACATTCGAAACATCGACAACCAAAAATAAAAATAAATTCACGAAAAATCCGAGAAGGTAGTTTTGTTTAAAATTATAATTATTATAATATTAAATATACTGGCCCTGCCGCAGTAACAAATACTGTACTCACTCGCCAGTGGCGCCAACTGCTGCCACCAGAAACGATAGCCGTCATTGGAAATGTCTAATATCACTGTGCTAGCCAGTTTGATATTTATTTTAGCTTTTACAATATTCTATTCTGATTAAAGACATTAATTACTTAAAATATTAAAACTTTGTACGCCTGAAAATATTTAGAGGCAAAAACTCAATGGCTTAATTGCTAAAACATATCCAAAGTAGTTTTCTCATATTTTTATACATCTCATATTCTTGACACTAAATCCATATAAAGAAACATTATTCTGTAATTATATATATTTACATCCCCAGTTGTTATTTTAAAGAAAAATGACATAGATAGTATTTAATTATTGAAATTATTTAATAACTTGTGAAGGTGATAAAGTCGCTTTGTTAGCATTTAGGATGAAAATAGAAAAATAATAAATGTTAAATGATAAAACATAAAATTGAAAATTGTTTTTTGGAATAAACATTGCTATTGCTAACAGCTGACAAAAATACGTTAGAGGATAGCTAGAAGAGATCATTTATAGAAAAAAAACAATAATTTGGTCACGCTCGAATATGCAAAAAAAAAGTAATCTATATATATAAAATTGATGTGTATGGTATATATATACCCTATGAACGCCAAAACGGCTGTAGTGATTTTGATAAAATTTTCTAGTAGTAGTTAAGTCCTTAGTATATCCATATCGTAAAAAAGTCATGAGCAAAAGTTCAAAGGGCAAGCATCGGCAAGTATTATTAATATGTAGGCGCTCATTTTGTATATATGAGTCTAACCGGGAAGGAGTTAAAAAGTAAATTATAATGACTAACTAGAGTATAAATATTTAAAGAATATACGCATATATGCCTAAAAAAATATTTTGGAGCTGAAATCAATAGGAAATGTGTTAAAAAAATGCATAACATTTTCTTAGACTTACACAAATATTTGAGATTATAAATAAAACAATCTTTTCGGATTTTTTCACGGATTTATGTAGATTTTTGGTTCCCGACGTTTCGAATGCTTTACAGCAATCATGGTCACGGGAAAGACTAAGGTTTTAGATGTCTCAAAGGCATTATATAGTTTTAACACACAGCCTACCCAGAAGATTATCTATTATTTATAATTAAAAAAATACGTTAAAAGCAAGAAATATTTTTACCTGCTCTAAATATTTTCCAATATAATTAATCCTATCTAAATCGTTTAAACCAGAGCGTGTTTTGGAAAATCCATTCTCCAGTACCATTATATCAATGTTACCATATTTCTGCCTAATCCATGACATATGTCTGCGAATTCCCTTAGGGTATACCTGTTAACAAAAAATAACAAAAAAGTTAAGTGGCTAGCAGCGGTTAAAAGATTAAAGTTGCAGATCTAGTTCAGTTGCCTCCCGTAGGCCTCCGAGGCCAAAATCCAGCTCTGGCCGAAAACAGGCTGATAACGATGATTATATCTGTAGGGTTACCCTACCCTACCCTATACCCTACCCACAAATAACAAAATGAAAATAGCACCAATTACCTTACAATAATTTTTAACTTTAAACATTATGTCAAATTTGTAAATTGAACTAAGATTTATTATACTTCTTTTTCATTAAAAATTCCTTTGTTCATATTTATATTTTTAAATATGCAACCTTAGACAAGTGATTTAGAAAAACTATTTGAAATAGTTTGGAGATGGAAGTTACAGCGTGTGAATGGACGTGAGCATCCCCTATTGGGCAACATAAATTATTTAGAATAAGGTAAATTATTTACCACTAATAAGGGGAAAGGCCCGAAATTTTCACTTCCTGGAGGCTGTATTAAAACCGCATTCAGCTCTGGAGATCCAGTCACAATCCAGATACCCGTATCTTCGCCAGGTTTAGCTGGTCGTATCAAATTTGTTGTGTAATGGTTCATGCTGTAGAAATCTGATGTACCTAAAAACGATTTTTTATAAATATATTTAGGAAAAGTATTTTATGGAACGGTAAGTGTAAAAGATAAGATTTATTTACTTTAACTAGGGGTCTTAATCTTAAATAGCCCATTTTTATCCTTGTGAATAAATGCATCAAACATTCGTATTCTGAGTCGAATCTGTCCATTAAATATTTTTTGGAAAATCTTATCGAGATAGTGATTATTATCGATACAGAGGCCGAATCAATAGTTTCTAGAATTTTTTTCTGTCTGTCTGTGTGGGAACGCATCATAAGAAACCACTTGACGGATTTTGATGAAATTTTGGCATGATCACAGCTGGTTATCAGAGTCAAAATTTAGAATACTTTTACTGCGAGAAAATATCTCATCTGTGAGAAATCTATATTAACCTTGAAATATGAAAATTATATTAATAAAATTGAAAATGAATATATGTATGATATTAAAGATTTTCTGTTAACCTAATATAAAACCCTAAAGTATAATTTTATGAACAGGAACATAAAAAATGTATACATATTTATTATATCTTATTTCTCTGTTTAAAATAAAATGGAAAAAAATTAGAAACACTAAAAGAATACCTATCTAAAAAAGCGGAAACTCTGTATCGCTTCTTAAAGAAACCTGATGTTTTGTGGACATTTTAGCAGCCATTCATACTGAGTCTGTTTACGTGATTGACCTTTTAATATACAAGTATATGCAAAAGCTCAGGTGCACTTTCCCTCCTATTACTTTCATAGTTTGATGAATGTTAAAGCCAACACTACCAAATGGCGCAGGTCTGACGCCTCCATGATTTCTGAAGCACGAGGCCATACACAACCAGCTTTCAAAAAATCCTATTACATAAATACATATTATGTACATACTCGTACATACCTTTAATAAATTGTATTTCGTCTCTAGTAAAATCCGGCAGTCTGGACCGATTGTAACCTTGTTTTAAGCTGTATTCCAACATCATCTTTTCCACTGACGGTGGCCACCCACCTTCTTTTGAATATATAGGATTAGAAAATCTACCTATCTAGAAAAAATCAGGCAAGTAAAATTTTTAAAATTTAACATAATGTATTTACTAATAAATAAATAGAATTCATTTTCAAATTGTGGCGGAGATGAGTGGATAAGAATATGGAAATAAAAAAATCTCTGATTTATATTCCAATAGATCTGCCTGGAAGAGTCATTCATTCAAACTTACTAGATTGATTTAGGATAATTCTAGTAGTGTCATTAGTTGAGAATTATAGATTTTAAATTATATTATGAGCTTACAGAGTGCTCTCTTCCAAGTTCTGCCAACGCCTCATCATCTGGTGTAGCTGGTTCAATCCACAATTCATAATTTGCCAATGAAATTTGGGCTGGAATGACAGTAAACACAACATTTACTTACATCAATGAATAAAAATCTTATTTTTTCCAAAATCTACGACGTTGCTGCTAATGATACTGAATGGAGCAAAATTTTGTTATATAATTAAAATGTTAAGGAAAATATCCAAGTTTTTTTTGTATCTTTTTATATAATAATTAACAAAGGATACCACGAATATGTTAATTTCATGAACGAATTAACTTAATTTATACTGTTACTAGCGGACTCGACAGACGTTGTCCTGTCTACACGTCTTTAATTTGAAAATTTCAAACTTTTTTTAATAATTTTTTTGATGAAAATTATTATTCAAATTGTGAATCTAAACCGTTCTTAGATCCCCTTGAACACACACAAAAATTTCATCAAAATCGGTCCAGTCGTTTGAGAGAAGTTCAGTGACATAAACACTCACAGAAGAATTATATATATAAAGATATTTGACATACGTAATTCTGCTGTTATATGGGAATTACTTTCACTTTATTATAATTACCTAACTAAATCGCTAAGAAATATTACATCTTATAATCCTGAGGATCAAAAATATAAAATAATATTAATGAAAAATAAGCCGAAAAAAAAATTCTACCATCCTTTCATTATTGTTAATCTTGTCTTGACCATGTTCAGGAATCGAATATGTAACCTACAACGTACTAGTAGCCTAAACCATAATCACTGATACCAATAGAATCACCGATCAAAAAAGTACTAGATACACAATCAGTGACAAAAAATTTCGGGATCGAATGAGCGCTCACTCCAACATTTGGGCGCGCTTTTTTAGTGTTCAATTTACATTGTTGTATATTTATTTCAACTACAATAATTACCTAAACACAATTGGTGACAGTTTTAAAGGAACTTTTGCATGGGATTGTGTATGTAGTACTTTTTTTATCAATGAATAGAATGTATAAACAATAAAAATGTGAAACCAACCTTCATAAAGCGGCTTAAACTCTCTTTCATATATCCTATACGCCATCGCATGAGCAAGTAATACATTTTTGTTGCAAATAAAGGGGGCAAATTCAGTCTCCTTTATCCCTGGGGCAAATATGCCTGTATTATAGGAATAGTCGCAGATGGATATCGCCTCATTTATAGTTATCCAGGTTTTAACTCGGCCAGCAAATACGGAAAAAACAACTCTTGCGTAATCTCCGAACCAATCCACTATATAAGGGTTTGTCCATCCACCTAAGCAAAAAAATATAATGGATCAAGAAAATAACTTGTAAAGCTCTAGGAAATATTGTTTTTTTAAGGTTCATCAGGAACCAGTTTTATTTCCGAAATTAGCTGTAAGGCAAATGATTTGTCTTGTCCATTAATTATGATTGAGTACAAAATACTAATTACAAAATTTGACTATATTTTTATCAATACTTTGGACTAGCGACTCACCTTTGCTCCGCTCGGGTTCGTATCTACTTACTTTTTGACGCTTAGAATAGATTTCTCAGAGATGAGATATTTTTCCGCAATTAGAATTATCCTAGTATGTTGACCGAGATAAACAGCTATCATCATACCAAATTTCATCAAAATCCTTCCAGTGGTTTTTCCGTGATACGGTCACAGACAGACAGACTAAAATTCTACAAACTATAGATTCGGCCTGTGTATCGATGATAATGTCTATTTCAATAAGATTTTCTAACAATATATTTCATATACAGATTTGGCTAAGTTACAATTTTATTATATGTATAGACTAACGACTTACCCTCGCTTCGCTCGGGTTCGTCCCTAGGTACATTTTAATATTTTTGAGCGGAACCCTAATTCTTTTACTGAAGTAAAAGTAGCCTAAGCTACTTCTTATAACATCAACTACCTACCGGTGAAAGTCTCGTCAAAATCGGCCCAACCGTTTCAGAGATTAGCCGGAACAAACAGACAGACAGGCAGACAGACAAAAAAACAAAAAGCAAAAATTTTAAAAATTGTCTTTTTCTTATAAATACCGTATATAATTCCATATGCATTTAGTAAAAAGCTGTTATTTTGACATTACAAACAGACACTATTTACGGATTTCTCATCTCTGATTTCATGCATATACTCGTAGACTCAGCTCCGCCGACTGTGATGCAAGTTGGATTGATACAAACCGAAAATACAAGGCTTATGTATTTTTTTTTATAATTTCAGGTTTTTGCAAAAAAATACTTAAAGCAAATCCGTAAAACAAAAATAAAATCACTTCTCAACAAAGTATTAAGACGATCACAATACAATATAGTAGATAGTTGAACGATTTTCATGTACCTATTTAATATGAAAAATGATTTGTTCCCAATATAAAATTTCAACCCCTATTTCACCCCTTTCAAGTTTTATTTTTTCAAAAAAAAGTATCCTATGTCTTTCTCCAAGGTTCCATCCAAAATTGGTTTGCTCAGAGTTACCTTCGCATTTATAATACTGCTAAACTTCAAACGGGATAGTATTCATTAGTTAGTAAATAAATGTACTCGTATATTATTACTAAGAGAATCTTACCGACATCTTGAATTTTGACTGGTAATTCCCAATGGTACAATGTAACTATTGGCTCAATGCCTTTTGCAAGAAGAGCATCTATTAGATTGCTATAGTACTGAATTCCTTTGTTGTTTATGTTATTTGAAAAACCTGTTGGTAGTATTCTGGGCCAGCTGATGGAGAATCTGAAATGAGACAAATTAAAAAATATTATGTTTCTGATGAGACTCATCATGATAAGACTCATGCGAATATTTAACATCTATGTCATATAATAGAATTCTGAGTCGATTCTGTACATTAAATATTTTTTGGAATAACTTATATTATATATTATTACAATAGCCATTATTACACAGAGAAAGTTTTTAGAATTTTTGTCTGTCTGTCTGCGAAAAGCAGCACGAGAAAACTACTGGATAAACTTTGATGAAATTTGAATAATAGCTGGTTATTCTGATCAACATATAGGAAAGTTTACATTGCGGGAAAATGTCTCATCACTGAGAAATCTACACTAGTAACCGTTAAAACGTATTTAGAGACGAGCCGAAGCGGAGCGAGGATGAGTCGCTAGTTTTAAATAAATCTTCTTTTCATACAAATTTCAATTGCATTTCCTTAAAATTATTGCTTAATTTCGTTGGTAGATACTATCTGTAGTAAATATGATTTTTGAGACGTGCATCGCAACGAAAAATGTATCAAATCTCAAAAACTACGTTTGTTAGTGCTGCCTGCGTACCTCAGTAATCTAGATTGAATAGTCTTCGAGATTTCTAAATTAAGGATTAAGTTTTAGCTCCTTGGCTGCAAAACACTAAAAAAGAGAGCCAAGAGATTGTAAACATAAGATTATATGCCTGCGTAGGTGCTTGTATTAGTAAATTTATATATAATCAAACCTGTAAAATTGTAAGCCAAGTTCAGCTGCAATCCTCACATCTTCTTGCCATAAATGGTAAGAATCGGCAGCGACGTCACCTGTGGCGTTGTTTTTTATCTTCTCGCGATGATTATGTACGAATCTATCCCACATATGTTCACCTTTACCTAATAAGAAGCAAGCCCATTATTATTATTGAAAGCGACTTTGACTCGCTTCGCCCGAGTAGATCATTGGTACCCAATTGCTCAGCACAGTGTGTATCTGTGTAATTTCATCCTAATTGGTCCAGCCAGCAATTTAGCGTGAGGTTCAGGAGTAATAAAAACACACTTACATACACACACGCACACTCGCACCAGAACAGACAAAGACTTATTTTCACATATTATAAAATATTACGTATTGATATTCCTTCAACAATTTAATTATTTTTTTAGTTCGTTTAGTGTTTTATTTTGTATTTTATGAATAACTTTAATAAAATAATCAGCGCCTAACGAACATATAGACAAAATTAGCTAGGTACTAAAGTAATTTGGGAACTTAGTTATTAGGTTACAAAAGTTCAATTAATTCTCTTGTTTATCTCTCGTTAATGGCTTCAAAGCGTGCCAGTTAGGTACAGATTTAAAAAAAAAGTTTATTTAATTTTTAGTGCCTCAGTTTTTTTCGTCTTTTGATTTTTTGTTATAAAATAATAAGTTTTGTTATAAGTTATTGTTATGTATTATTCCGGTTCCTTGAATTATTATAATACGTTTAATGCATTATTTAATTTTAATTTGCCTTTATTATGATGAAGCTCCATTAAAGTCCATCTAAGTGATACTTAAATACGTTAATAGGCATAAATTATAAAAAAATGATATAAATTATATATTAAATAATTAGGCATAAATTATAAAAAATATATTTTTGTATTAAATTTTAAAGACAATCATTCTGTTTTTTAATTTGAACTCAAAAAAATATGGTTATGACAATGCCGATAAATTGAGCTGTTATCATTCTCATAGCTCCCGTTTTGTATGTGTGTGCTTGTGTATGTTTGTTACTTCTTCAGGCTTAAAATGCTTGATGGATTAGGATGAAACTTATTATACTGACTGACCTGTATTTACTTATAGGTTACTGAAATGCACCTAGGGGCGCACCTAAGCAAAGCTAGAGTAAGTCACTAGTGTAGTTTAATAATAAGTGTTTAGTATAAATAAAACTATTTAATTACGGATATTTTCAAAGATTTATATTGTTATTGGTTCCCGACGTTTCGAATACTGTACATAAGAATATTTGCATTTGAAACGTCGGGAACTAAAAATCAAAATTTATCCGCGAAAATATCCGAAAAGTTAGTTTTATTTATAGATACGTTTTAACGATTAGTATATATTTCTCCGAGATGAGATATTTTTCTGCTATAAAAAGTATCCTATATGTCGATTCGGATAAACAGCTATCATCATACTAAATTTCATCAACATATGTCCAGTAGTTTTATCGTGATGTGTTTCAAGACAGAGAGAGAGACAAACAAAAATTGTTTAAACTATAGGTTCGGCGTCTGTATCAATAATAATGACTATTTCAATAAGATTTTCCAAAAAATATTTAATGTACAGATTCGAATCAGTTAGAATTTTATCATACGTATAGATGTCAAATATTCGTGTAGGTAAATAAATGTAAGGAAGTATTTTGTAAATAATATTTTTTATTGCCAGAAATTAGGAAAAAAATAGCCAGAATCATCAATAAAAGGAGAAGCTGATTTTTCAATATTGCCTTGTTAATATTTAACTGCTGGTATGTTTTTCGCAATATTGATTAAAGAATTTTTGATTGGAATTTACTTTTTCTTCTTTATTTGATTTTAATTTACTGTATACATATATTATTACCGTCAGCATTCCAACCTCCTTCAATTTGATAAGAAGATGTAGAAGCACCAAACTTGAAGTTCAGAGGGAAACTGTATTCAACGCTCCATGACTCTTGCAGTATAATAGTAGATCTGGAAAATAATAATTTTAAAAATAATTTTTATTATTGGAAAATAATAAAAAATATCTTAATTAACCGAGTTCCAAAAAGGAAGGTTCGCAATTCGTCGGAATCTTTTTTTATGTATGTTCACCGATTACTCGAAGAAGCCTGAACCGATTTGGAAATTATTTTTTTTCTGTTTCAAAGGAATATATAATATATTTGTGATGTATTTTATCCCCTTCCTTCTTTCCTTGCCTTCCTCAATAAACTAATGCAAAAATATTATCTAATGCAAAAAGAAATTTTCAAATGGGATTAGTAGTGCTTGAGATTAGTGCGTTTAAAAGCTAATATTATACATACATATATCCTCCTTTTTGAGCAAGTCGGTTGAAAAATATATGTACATTAATGATAGAAAATGTGGTTTTTAACATATTTTGAAAATTGATTTATGAAGTAAATTGCAATTTAGAATTTGATGGTCGTTCAGCCTTAGCCTATATAAAACTTTATCGCTCCGGCTATCTACACTCCGCATGTGTGAATCAAATTGTTTCATTTAAATACAAGCCTTCAACCTCGCTGTATTTTGGTTTTGTAAATTTTACAACCTATGAGTAGTGTTTCCGTAAGAAAATGTAAGTACTGCAAAGGGCCCAGGCGCAATAAACAATGTCTTGATGGTCTAATGGCTAGCATGTACGGCTGCAGATTTAGGAGTGCTTGTTCGAGTCCCGATTGACCCATTGGGTTTTCCTGTCAAGAAATTCTCAGTTCTCAGGGGATATATTGTCCAGAGTTGGGAAGTTGGCAGTGTTTCATTGCCGTGCCTTGAGACACGTAAGACTGTCGGCCCTGTACCTGATTTCTTATTGATGTACATATTGTTAACCCACCGGACTTTGAGAGTGAAAAGAAAAGATAGTGCTCAAAAGCGCGTGTATAATTGTGCAATACATATTATAATAACTCCCACAGATAATTTCAGTGAAATTGGCCGTCGCGGCCGAAACCGGCCAGACAGACTTTATGATTAATGTTTGTTATGTAAAAAATGAATAATACTTTGATACATATAAGTACGTCATAGCTAAAATCTCAGTCGGAAATATAAAATTTAAAGCCCAATTATATCGGCTATAAATTTAAATGAAACAAGTTTTAAAAAAAAAACTGTTATATAGTAACGGTTTTTGATGACCTACTTTAATGATATGATATTAAAATATGAATCATTGATTATGTATTATAATTTTGCAAACTTGAAATTTATTTTATTCAATTGATTGAACAAACAGACGAGACGATATCAAAGAAAATAATGATATTTTATTAGCGTATATTTTATACTAAGGTTTGCCCGCGGCTTCGCTCACTTGGACTATTTATGATAACCATTGTTCGTCCAGCGGTCGAAATTCGACTATACCTACTTAGTTTTTTATTGAAAACACTAACGCCCGTCGACAGCTGCTAGACAATAAAAAACGGTTAAAATAGCAGAGAAATTATTTTGTCTTTGCCTCTTTATAGGTAGGTATAAAGATTCGTACCCCTAAACGTGCGTTCACCTTATCTCGTAGTGGAGGAGGGGGAGGGGGTGCGGTGGAGGGGCGGCTCATTAGCGTCCGCTAGTTAAGCCAGGCGCGAAGCTAGGAAACGCACAGGGAAGTGGCGCATTTTGGTGGACGGTGTACCATGCGAGTTTCTCCTAGTACTTCTCTGATAGCAGAGTGGACTGTTGGAGCAACCCCATGGTTGTTGTGGTCTGCTTCGGCAGACTTGCCGTCGGGGCGTTGTAGTTAAATGCGTAAGTGATCCTGCGACGCCCCATTAAGACGGGGAAGGTTTTGTTGGGTTTTAGTGGGTAGTACTGGCTTTTCTAGCCGGTGAGTCCCACGTAAACGCCTGTTTGTCTACAGGTGGTATGCGTAAATGTATTTACCTACGAGTATACCCGTCAGGGACCTGAACTATACATATAAACCTATATATACATTTTTGTTTATATTGTAGTGTACCTGTTGTTTTTTGAAATTTAACTATGTATGTTAAAGAAATAAATGGCTTTATTATTATTTTTATTAATTCTCGTTTTTCGTGTATTTTTTTGTTTAGACCACTACTTGGAGTTGTCTGAGAGATCGTTGACCAATGATTTACATTCAGTTTTAATGAACCCGCAGACGTTGTACCTACAAATACTTACTGTGACCAGAATAATATAATGGACTAGCTTTTACTTAAAGCCCCAATAGCCTGATATTATTATTATTATTATATATTATATTTGTCAATATAAATATTTCAAATCGCACAGACAATTCCAGAGATAAGCGTATATAAAACAAAAAAAATCTCTTCAGCTCTATTCATTTTTTAAAAATTGACAAAAACTTAAAAAATACAACTCATCCCAAGCATCCACAAAACACAAATTACACAAAAAAAAAAACAATTTACTATTTTAAACTAAAATATAAAATTAAAAAATAACAATATATTAACATGAATTTTTGCACTATAAAAGAAACACAAATCTTCACAATAAAAACTAACACCACCATGAGTTAAAACAAGAACACTTACAATATAACGACTGCCTTTACTGCTAACATGGTTATGACTAGTGCCAAAGTGAAACGACTTTTTTAATAAGTTAGCGACTCACCCTCGTTCGTTCGGGTTTGTCCATAGGTACATTTTACTGGTTGGTATGGAAGACTATATATGGTATAGCCTTTCTCAATAAACGGACTATCTAATGCAAAAAAAAAATTCAAATCGGATCAGCACTTTCTGAAATTAGCTCGTTCAAACAAATGAACTCTGTCTCTTTATAATATTAGTATAGATAATCTCTATATACACTATATAATTTATACTAATATTATAAAGAGGTAAAGTCTGTAAGTTTGTGACTTTGTATAATTATAGCACAAATTAAGCCCATTGGCGGAACTTCTACCACTAAATCATATATATATATATATATATATATATATATGATATATATATATATATATATATATAAATATATATTCTTTATTGCATATTAATAGAGTAACACAGATAATACAGAGACCAATGTGGGCAAAGGTGGACTTATCTCTAGAAGAAATCTCTTCCAGCTAACCTATGGAAGTGAGAAATAGTGTTATATGACGGGATTAGTTCAATTGATTAAGGATAAAATTATTAATAATTATACAAATTATTTATAATTTTATCTTCAATCAATTGCACTCATCTAACTAAACATAAATGTAGAAAAGTAGACTCTGTTGGTTTTATCTGATTGCATTACTAAAATATAATAAGATATATGTACGTCTATCTTCAATGTATTATATGTGTTACTATTGGCGAAATAATATTATGTAAATTATAATCGCTCTGAGGATACTTCTGACAGTACAGACTTCATCACTTTTTATATTCTACCTTTATTAACGAGTATTTAAGATAATTTTGATATAAGATAACATGAGATGAGATATGAGCATAAAGCCCGAATTGTAATTAAAAAATTCTAAAGTATTTAAGATGTTTGCTCAAAAATAATATGGATTTTTATCGCTTTTACGTATACGAGGATGACTTATAGCCATAAAGTATAGTCTTAATTCAGTTATTGAGCACTACGTCCCAACACTAATTCCGCTACTAATACTATTACTTATTTCACTCAATTTTTTTAGTTTTTTCTAAAGTTTTTTTTCTTTATTTTTTTTAATACGAAATTAAAAATGGTCACTCAGTAACATACTTTTAAAAAAGGCAGTGGTAGCTTGGGAAACCAAGTGAAACGGGTTCAAATCCCGGGTCTAACAGCTCTGATATTTTCATGTGCGAATCATTTCCAACATGATTACCACTTGTCTTACGGTGAAGAAAAATATCGCGAGGAAACCTGCATGTCTGAGAGAGCCTAGTAAGTTTTCGAAGAACAATATGGTGTAATCCGCCAAGCCGCACTTGGCCAGCGTGGCGGGCATTGGTCTGATAACAGAACTGAATTTCGGGATGATGGTCAAGAACTGTCTACAATTACTTTTTTATCCAATTGCTGCGAATCCCGGAGGGTTATGTGTTTGATCTATATAAATTATGTATTATATACATATAATATGTAATGAATAAAAAGCAAGCAAAAAGGAGGGAACAAGTTAGCGAAGGAAATAATATTTATTATGCAGTCGGAGACAAACATTCACGTATATAGATAGATAAAAAAATTACGAGAATGTCTACGATAGCATAACACTGTGTTCCTTTGATAACTATTTTTTTATTTTACGTTTATGCTGTACCTTTAGGTTGCCTGGAAGATATCTTAGCGATAAAGCAGTCTATTGTGCCATAATATCTTTTTGGATTATTTTTTGTGCTTAATTTATATGGAAATGGTGTACAATAAAGAATATTTTACGTTATTTATTTATTTAAAAATATATATGGGTCAGGCCGTAGATTTTGCCACAAATAGCGCAAAGGTGACGTACAATTTTCTGCAAGTAGGTGACGTAGAGTGACGCAAAACGGTAACGCAAAATAGTAAAGGTACGCCTACATGATTTTGTGATTTTTAAATATTTTGACTGGATAGATAAATATTATTTTCAAAGATGTTATGAAGTTAAGAACAGTACTAGTACGCCTCAGGATTTGCGTCATAGTAAGGTAGGTACGTAGGTAAGATAGGTACAAATAAAAAAAAACACGATTTTGGTATGGTAAGTAAGTCTTACAGTTTTTAATGAATCACAGCAGACAGACTCGTGAAGGCACACAATAACGTCTCAAATATTTTAATTTTAATCACAAATAACAAAAACAAAAATTAAACTTCCCGTTGCCCCCATCTTTGGATTTAAATTTATTTCGTCAATTAACATCTTAGACAAAAATAAACGATCAAATATTCATATCTTAAACAAAAATAAACGATCTAAGAATATAAAATTGTTCTCTGGGAAGATAAAATTATTTAACAATAAATTTTTATGTTGACAAACTTTTCGGAATCGACTGGACAGATTTTGGTGGCGACCATTTTCCGTTTAATAGATGTGGCAAACTGTGTACAATATAAAAAATATTATTTTATTAAATATTCCTCTTATCGTACTGGACTGGAGGACAATTTTATCGTCTTAGATGTTTGACTTTTGTATTAGATTTTAAGAAATATATATAAATGTGATGGTTATTATGGTTGAGTACAAACAAACACATAAGACAAAGAATATCAAATCACAGAATACAGATGTTTTATTTTTCATCTAACGAATGCGGAGAAGTTTTAGGTAATTGTAATGTATGCTTATAAAGGCGCAAAATGTCTCGCACGCACACGAAACCATTATATATATGTATGTGCACATACCTTCACAACTAAGACAAGTCCACATTCGTGAGATAAAACAATTATAACTAATAGTGCCTACTAACGTCTCAAATATAATTCTCACTCATCTTAATATTACTCTTATTTTATCACTACTCTTATTACTAACTTAATTCTTAAAGATATCAAAGAAAAAAATATATAGAATCTACTCATAAAACAACTCCTTAACAAGATAGAAAAATATTAAAACTTTGGCTTATTACAATCGAAACAGTTTAAAGAAAAATTAAAACTTTAATTTATTGAACACGTACTTAAAAAAGGCACCTTTTGTATAATTATTGTTTTTTTACTGTATGTTGTAGTAACTAATGTCGGTGTCAAAGATTATTTGGCCCCGTCGGGAAATGTTTGGTTGAGGTAATACTTTAATCACATCACCTAACTGCATTTCATATATATCGTCAACTTGTGGATACGTGAAAATTAACCCTTTACTATCTTTCAAATTTTTCACGTTCCTAACAAATTTTACAGTAGGAACATTATCTTTTATCGACAAAACACGTCCTACAAAGTGCTTTAAACTTTTTTTTGTGGCAAATTTAGCCACTATCCAGTCATCCTTTTTTAAAAAATCTACTGTACAGTAATCAATATCACTAATCCCAAATGGTATAGCTGGCTCTAAGTTTTCCTTTCCTTCTTGATCTTCTAAACATGTTATATACTCATTCAATGTTTCGTATTCAGATTTATCAGTATCGGCTAGACTTATAATATCGGAGTTTTCAGAGCTTGTTTCTATATAAGTTGCTATCTTTTTCTTTTTTACGGCGTGCTTGCTTGATTTTGACTTTTGTCTATTATTTATATTCTTTTTACCTTTTTTTATACAAGTTATTGTTCTTTCAGTAGTTACATTTTTGCGTTTTCTTTTACTGCCTGCTTCTTTTGACGTACTTGCGTGTTCATTTAATGTATCTATTTGGCCTAGAGCATTGTTTTGTTTAACATTTTTTACTTTCTTCGGAACTATTTCCATATTTAGTGCTGACTGCTTAATAACTTTAGCCCCTTTCAAAATTTTCCTAATATTATTTTTCTTTACTTCAGAGTCTACCTTGATGTTAGAGTGTATTATCAGTTTAGAACAGCCCACTGAAACTTTCGATTCATTTGCATATATTTTGGATGATGGTATTACTGGTTGTAAACATGTCGGCAAATCATTATAAAACGACAGATTCTGACTGTCATTCTTTGAAATTTTATTCAATACGCATACCTCCGATAACTGGGTCTCTGTATTTTGGTTTGATATACCGAAGTGACTGTTGATAACTTGATTACAAAACATTTTAAGACTGTCTGGATTATAGATGGTCACTTCATTATCCTTTTCAACATACTTTTGATTTTCAGCTGTATCATTCCCTTCACATTCTATTGCATTTAAAATTCCAGAATCGTTCAGTATATCGAAGTCAATATTTGTTTCATCAATGTCCATATTGTCTGATAAAAAACTGTCCTGGGTCCAGTGAAATAGTTGTTCTTCAGAGCACATTTCATTTCCTTTTATTTCTAAGCTATCGTTTATTTGCTCTCTCACTTGTTTTAGTTCTCCAGTGGTTTCGTCAAGCTCCAATCTTGTATAGCTTTCGTCTTTTCTATTTCCGTCTATTGTAAATTCTGTTTGAAATTCAAAACTGTGTATTTTCGGTTCAAAACATTCACATTTTCCCTTGAGATTTTGGCAAAAGCAAGAGAGGATGCGGTATTTAAGTATGAATTTAGCATGACTTACAATCTGGTGAATTTTTAATGTATTTCGAATAGCGGTCAGTTTGCTTGCAATATTTGTGTCTAATGTTTGGATGCTTTCGGGTCTTATGAAAAATGTTTTGATTGACGTTGCCGTTTCCTGCAAAACATTAAACGCAGTTTGTGCGTCAGGTATATCAGTCCCATGTGAAACTTTAAAGTCTAGAGTTCTTTTTATAGTCCCCCCGACGCCATCTGCGGCACCTTTTCCATGGGATGCCTCAAAGTATGACCAAGTAAAATTTTCAAATCCATGTTCGAAGGTGTTGCGGGTCATTAAAAAAAATTTTTTTTTTGGCGGTACTGGCTCGTAGGACCGTCAGAAAAAAAATGAACTGTGTCTATATTTGTATATGTAAGCCTGATATGCTTTAATACGGGATCAAGATGTGCCCAAATTGCTTCGGGGGTATGACAATTTTCAGCAGAAATTGTACAAAACGATAATGGTTTTTCATTCTTAATGTAAAGCACGCCCGTATGTAGGGTAATTTGGTTTTTCGATGCACCGAAATGCATAGCTTGTATTTCTTCATGATGTTTACACAGCCAGTTTTCTGAAAAGTCTATATGTAATGCACATTCGTTGTAGTCTAAGTTCTCTATACATAGCTTATATTGTCGTTGTTGATGGCGCATGTTGTATACATGTATCTTAAATTTGTTCATTTCCTTGTTAAACAAATCAACTAAATCTTTTAATGTTCCTTTGTTTTCAGTTTTTGCCATTCTTTTAGTCTTTTTTCTCTCTCCTTTTTCATCATATTCATGTTCTTTGACTTTCCATGAAAACCAGTTTATTACAAGATTTTCCTCTTTGTTTACTTGTACAGCATTATCTTTACAAACACTGCATTCACCGTACATGCATTGCTTAAAATCAGGGTCGCAGACGAGTTTGTCCAAAATTGTGTTAATATCATTTGACTCGAGTATGCCCGCCGATTTTAAAGCATTTAAAATAAATTGCATATTGCAATGTTTCAAGCAAGCACACGTTTTCAAATTCTTTAAATTTGGAGATATAACATAAAACGGACGATATTTTTTAAAGGTGCTGTAACTTATTGAGCCAACTTCAGAAACGTATTTTTTATATAAGGTTTCTAATTTATCTAGTAAATATCGAACTTGCATTTTACATTTTCTGTATGTGCGGCATTCCTTCTTACCTGCACTTGCACGGCTTACATCGTCTCTTTCGTAAAATCTCCGTATTGTCTCTATCAGATCATGGGTTTTTGTTTTTGTTTCTTCGTGTCTTTTTAAACTGTTTTTGAGCCCGAGACTCTTTGTAAGGGAGGTTTTTAATTTATATTTTTTTACTATCGGATCATCCACAACATCTTTAAATGTATTTTTATCTTGGTTTTGACAGATTTTAAATTTAGATTTAATAGAGTCCGTGAGAACATTGTATTCTAAAATCTTTTTTTTGATAACTTCTTTTTCCGGTATTGCAACATTAGTTAGGTGCTCATTAACAAAGTTTTCCGATCTCTTATATGGAGTGTTTTCTTGTTCTTGTACGATGGTATGGTTTACAATTTCAGCTTCGTTATGATGAACTTTCTTAGCTAAATCTCGGAAATCACTCTTCAATTTACGCATGTCTCTTTGAACGGATTTGTAATCTCTTATCAATTTATCAACGTATTCACGAAGTTGGTTATTTTCACGTCGCATTTTTTTTTCAATATTTCTCTGAATATTTCTAATCACAGTCTTATTCAAATATGTATTGCTTCTACTTTCTGTGTCATTTTGTTCAAGTCTATCTGGAACTTGTACAGCCAACATGCTTTGGGTTTCCAGATTTACTTCATTTGAACGGTCTTCTGTAATATCCTGATGCTCCATATTGGCAGGTTGTTCATTAGATGTAGACTGGATTATGTGGACAGTTTGCCGAATACTGTTTTTATTCTGTGACAACCTGTGTTCTGCTTTTTGTGAATCAGTTATAGATTTTTTTTTATTTTGGTAAGCTTTAATTGCTCTTGATTTATTTTTCTTTTTAATTTCTTGATATTTATCAGGATTCGTTCTTTTTAGTTTTTCCCTATATCTCCTTGACTTTTCTGCTTGACTCAAAGGCATCTGAAACGAAATATGGTAAATATAGTTATGTATCTATCTAATATATTTAAACGAGCATTTCTTGTTTATACCGAACGATTTAGATCAAAATTTGTATAATATATGAGACAGAAAGTAAAAGCAATACATATTTGAATAAGACTGTGATTAGAAATATTCAGAGAAATATTGAAAAAAAAATATGCGACGTGAAAATAATCAACTTTGTGAATACGTTGATTAATTGATGAGAGATTACAAATCTGTTCAAAGAGACATGCGTAAATTGAAGAGTGATTTCCGAGATTTAGCAAAGAAAGTTCAGGATAACGAAACTGAAATTGAAAACCATGCCATCGTACAAGAACAAGAAAACACTTCATATAAGAGATCGGAAAACTTTGTTAATGAGCACCTAACTAATGTTGCAACACTGTAAAAAGAAGATATCGAAAAAAAGATTTTAGAATACAATGTTCTCACGGACTCTATTAAATCTAAATTTAAAATCTGTCAAAACCAAGATAAAAATACATTTAAAGATGTTGTGGATGATCCGATAGTAAAAAAATATAAATTAAAAACCTGCCTTACAAAGAAGGTTTGGACTCAAAAACAGTTTAAAAAGATACGTAGAAACAAAGCCAAAACCCATGGTCTGATAGAGACAATACGGAGATTTTACGAAAGAGACGATGTAAGCCGTGCAAATGCAGGTAAGAAAGAATGCCGGACATACAAAAAATGCAAAATGCAAGTATGATATTTACTGGATAAATTAGAAACCTAAAAAAATATCTTCCGTTATATGCTATATTTCCAAATTTATATATTAATATATGAGAATATATATTCACCTTAAATATATAAGAATATATATTCTCATAAAGTGAAAGAGATTCTCATGAATCTGGCTATCATATACAAAAAGAACTTTTTAAATCGGACTTGTAGTTCCAGAGATCAGCGCGTTTAAACAAACAAACAAAAAAACTTTTCCGCTTTATTATGTTAGTATAGATAGCATCTTATAATGCGTTATTAAGGCTCCGTATTTCATATGCTGCTTATGTGGAACCATTAGTGCTTTGCACACCATGTCACAAGCAAAAAAATATACCTAACCGCAAATTTACATGTGTATGCACCTTTATTCGATAGCGTAAAATAAAGTGGCGCAAATTCTACGCCACTGGTAACGCAAAGTAGCATAATGCCATTTTTACGCAACCGTGACGCAAAGGAAATTGATAATAACTCTATAAATAAACTCTTTTTTCAGGTTAATTTATGCTTGAAAGATCACACACAGCTTACTAAATGGTGCACAATAACAATATTAAATATAAATTGAAAACTTACCTTGAAATCACAAAAAATGCACTCCGCCACAAACTTGACACATTCCTCTTCGCAACGAAGTTGACATCCAACTGACAGGAATATTGCCGCTAACGTCATATTGACCATAGAGGTAGTTACTTTGGTGTTGCCACTACTTAGATACAAATCCTGCTAATGTTTTTATGACAAAATTGGCAGATATATTGGTTGCGCAATAAAAATAGCGCAAAAAAATGTCTTTGTGTAGTTTTTAAAAAATGTATGAAATTTAATGTTTTTTCTTAGGAAACACGTAACTATATTAAAAAGGTGGCTAGCTAACTATTATTTCATAACGTCAAATCACATCGATTGTCAAAAGGAATGTTTATTTTTAATTTTACAGATGCGCAAAGTGTACATATACCGAAGCGGATTCGCGTTTTTTATAAAAATTTCGTCATTTTTTTAACAAAAATATCGTATAACTTTCCATGTTTATAAACTTAGTCAAGTATATTTAGTGGCCGTGGCTCTCCATTTCATAGGAAATACAACGTCGTGATTGAAAAATGTATATTAAGTATTTTAGTTAAAAAAAAAAGTAGCGGAGAGTTAGGGTATACAAAATGTGGCAAAAACTACGGCCTGACCCATATATTTTACTTAAAAGTATCGATTCTCTCCTTTCAAACGCTTTCTCTTTATTTAATCGAATAGTTTTCTTTGTACTGTACATAATAATTTAATAGTAAAACACATTTAATAGTAAAAATATCGAAATTATTGTTTAAGGGCTTTTAATATAAAAACATAGATGTTACCTTGTGCTGTTAAATAGTAGCACTATTTATATGATACAAGATACTAACTATTAAATATAGCACTAGCACTAAGCTAAAACAGCATCAACATAAAATAATATTTTTAAAACAAATTATATAAATAATGACTGTTAAAATAAACATTTTACAAAATTTGTTATACTGGTTTAGGAGGAAAATATTATTGTTAAATAATAATAATGTCAAATAATAATAATGTTAAATAATAATAATATACTTACATTAAATACATTTAATGTTAAATATACTTATCTTTGGCAAATTTTGGCAGAATATACATTATAGTGCGAGGCACAATAAGTTTTTACAGATTTTAATTAAACTATTAACATATTTTAACAATTAAGTTTTTATAAACGTATCATCATATCATCATGTACATGTTTTTATTATAATTAGATATAAAAAACCGTAAATTTATTTTGAATCAAAATTCTTCTTCATACTTGATCTGTTATTTGATTTGTACCTACATATTTTACAACTAAATAAAATTTTAACCAATAATTTAAATAAATTATTATAGTAATATAACAAATGTGTATTTGTATTTCGATGACAGGAAGAAAACAACTAGAGTCAAGGGGTCTTCTTAGAATTTATTATATGAAAAAAAAACTATGAACAGTGGCGGACCGGCAGGCGTTCGATACGAAGCGACCGACCGGATACGTCACAATCTAGGTACTGCGAGGATGTGTCTAGATGGCTCAAGTCCTCGATAGTCATCTCACATCCCCGCAAGGGGAGTGGGGAAACAGTATCATGGCATAGACTGTGTGTCAAATGCCGCCCACTAATATGGGCGTGTTCCTGGGTGAATCCTATCTAGGACTCGTGATGGAGTCGGACAGGGGAGTGCGTTATGTGTCGCGGAGCCCAGCCGGATTTAGTTCGTCTGGTGAGAAGTCCAGCCAGGCGACCAGATAGCTCAAGTTGACGCGCGAGGTTCTTTATATAGGTGGGGCGGCTGTCAGTGCCGGCCGGCGGGGATCGCATAGACGCACACTAAATAGGCCCGCTTATGGTGTTACAGTAATATATTATATAATAATAATAATATTATATATTTTACAATTAATAAGCTTTGTGCTATATTTTTGTAGTTATACTTCTTTTGGGACGCTTGGAAAAAATATGAGGGTAAAATTTTTACGATGCGCGCGCACACCGACAGCCAAAAAGCGACACGATGAAGTTAGCTGATAACTGTTTGTTGCCATGGTAACCGTTGCTATTGTCTGTACAAATGATATATAATATTATATTCTTTCCTTAAATGATATTCTATAATTGTAATATGCCTAATATGCCTTATTTAATTATTTTATTAATTTATCATTTCCAAACAGAGAGTTGTGACATACAAGATGAAATTTTTAGCTATATTTGTTCTTTACGCCAAAGAAGCACTTCTTACGTGTGTACATAATTTTAAAAACACGTTGAGCATAATTTTAATACATTTTGTTTTGTAGTTTTTGTATTTCCCTTAATTAATTATTATCTATTACACAATTCTTAGTTCCTTATTATTTATGATCACAGATCACTTGCAAGATTAAAAAAATTACATTATCATCATTTTCATTAAATAACACACACATACAATAAAGATTCCCGTAAATATTTACTTCGAACATAAAAGTCTGAAAGAAACAAATTTGCCTTAATCAGTAGTTGAACCCACTAACATAAACATATAATATGACAAATTAAAATAAGTTTCACTAGTATAGTAATGACTATTTGGTCTTATATTAGGTACTATCTTTTATATCAAGAGAGTGGTGTTTAATCACATTCGAGTAGTAGCACGCAGAGGCGCGAGGGCGGCGTGTGCGTTCTGGGTCTTCAAAATCCACTTGATAAAGACCAAATTTTGGCCTGGAAACAAAAAAATAAAAAATTAATTAATAATATATATTAATTTAAAAAATCATTTTACTTTTATCCTTATTGTACATGACCAGCCTTTTTTAACGTCCCACTGCTGGGCACAGGCCTCTATTCAATGCAAGGAGATTAGGCAATAGTCCACCAGATTGGGCAAGTGCGGTTTGGGTGGTTTCACAAATCTTTCGAAAACTTGCTAAGTTCTCTCAGGCATGCAGGTCTAGGTGTTTTCCTTCACCGTAAGGCAAATGGTAATCGTGTTGAAAAATGATTTGAACATCAGAGTTGCGAAACCCGAGATTTGAGCTGGACATAGCACTGCTAGCTTATTATTATTTCACATTGTAGAGGAAGGTATAGATTCCTTATTATTTAATACTAAATTCTTTTAGTGACTCCTTCTCTTCGAGCGGCTTTGCTCGCATAAGATCCTTATTAACTCATATTACTTAACATTACAATGTGTTTCTCCAGATCATGCTCTATTTATGTACTAAATTTCATCTAAATCAGTGCAGACATTCCAGCGTATAGGAGTAACAAACATACACATATACAAACATTTGCATATATAAAAGTAACGCCGATTTATGTAGACACAAAATTTCGCATGTTTTAATGGTTTTAATGATACCATGTAAAGTAAATTTTCTTACTTGTATCCATCAGCCCACTCGAAGTTATCAAGCATAGTCCAAGCTGTGTACCGCGTCACATTGATACGGTCTTCATTGATAACAAGTAAAACCTGCAGAATTATTTTATGCGTTATCAATAGGGAAAAGATACTTCTAAACAAGTTGCGCACTAAGTACCGTTCGTAATTTTTTCACACGACAAAAATTATAATCTTTGGACTTTAATTTCGTAAGTGCTGAGGACTGTAGTCGTAAATATTGTAAAAACCAGTCACCGGAAAAATATCCAAAGGAATCTACTGGTCTACGTCACTGAAGGCAGTGATAGCCAAAGTGGTACTAAAGAAGAACATGAGCAATTAAGTATTCAAATGCAAAATTCAAATTCACCTGTTCCAAGTGTTCTTTGTAATATTGGACACGGTCGTCATCATCCAAAGTGGAATTGTTAGCAAAACCATTTTCCATAATGTATATTTCAATATCTCCATACTGTTCTATCAGCCATTGTAATTGTAGACGAAGACCTTCGGGGTATATCTGAAAGGAATGCCATAATTTTGTCATAACAATTGAATGTTCTCTAAAAAATCTAAAAAATCTCTAAAAATCTATACTAATATTATAAAGAGGTAAAGTTTGTGAATTGTGAGTTGCTAAATGATTTAGATGAAATTTGGTACGAAGATAGTTTCAGATCCTGGGAAGGACATAGGATACTTTTTATTCCGGAAACCATCCCTTAAGCGGGTGAAAATGGGGATGAAAGTTTGTATGAGGAATCAAGCTAGGGACGAACCCGAGCAAAGCGAAAGTGAGTTGCTAGTTTTATATAATTTTAGTACAGTATAAAAATTCATACAGTAGGTGATCGCCCATTGATTTTAACAGAACTACTATCAAATGAAAGTGTTGTCAAAACAAAAGACTTTAATGGAAACCGGTCTCGATGTAAAGCGCTATAAAGCTTTCATCATGATTCAAGTTAGGCCACACCTACCTCAGGCTAAAATTGTTACGTTTAATAGTCATATAAAACTAGGTTCAAAAGGGTTAACTAATGCAGCCATGTTTTGTCTGGGGTTTTTATCACATAATGGAACTCGGAGAGAGTTACATTTTTTTAAGTGGTAGTAAAATATGACGTAAAATATTTTTTCATAAAAATAGCTTACGTAAAACCATTCCGTTGCAGCCCTTTGCCAATCCGGATTGACCGACAATACTATATTACCATCTTTATTTCCCATTAAGGGCCATGGGCCAATAATATCATCTGCCTGGGCCTTACGAACTATACGTGCTGTGTAGTAATTGAGACCGAAAAAATCGTATGTTCCTAGAATCAAATTAAGTATACATATATAAGTTTATTGTAGATCCAAATAAATAAAAAATTAAAAAATACAATAGCATTCCCAAGGAGGGTTGATGTTAGACAGGCGGCCGGCCGTAAAACTTTTGGCCTAAGAGCCTGTGAACGCCAGATCTTCGTCATTTTATGGTCCATCGTTCTTCTGTGTTGGGAGCATGCGCTGACAAACTTTCAGCCTTTATAAAATGACGAAGGTCTGGCGTTCACGGGCTCTTCCTCTATCTTGCCAAATCCTATTAGCAGTCCGGAAGATATACTTCACCGACCCGAGATGATGATGATGATGATGTTTGATCAGGTCTTAATCTAATTATGTGCGAATTTTCATCAAAATAAGTCCAGCCCGTTATAGCATGAAGTAGTAACAAACAATAATAATAATAATAATAAATTTGTTGGGACATGAAACACAACACCATCTAGTTCCATGGTAAGCTACGAGCCCCCCCAACGTGCGTTCACCTTGTGGTGGTGGGGGGGCTCAGTAGTGCCCGGCAACCCAACCAGGCGTGAAGCCAAGAAACGCACAGGGAGGTGGCCCACTTCGGTGCGCGGTGGGAGGTGGCCCTCTTCGGAGGGCAGTGTACCATGCGGGTTGCTCCTGGTACTTCTCTGATAGCAGAGTGGACCTTGGAGCAACCCCGTGGTTGTTGTGGTCTGCTTTGGCAGACCTGCCGTCGGGGCGTCGTAGTTGAATGCGTAAGCGATCCTGCGACGCCCCATTAAGACGGGGGAAGGCTTTGTTGGGTTTTAGTGGGTAGTACTGGCTTTGCCGGTGAGTCCCACACCTCGTGCGTAAATGCATTTCCCAACGTTAAAAAATAAATAAATGGTAAGCTACGAGGCTTGTGTTATAAATACCAGATAGTTGATACACTACACATATATAACTTTAAATACATACATATTATAAATAACATACACACCAACACACAAACTTTCGCATTTATAATAATAGTATGATTCATATTTTCTGGTCCCCCTGTGTGAAATATTATTGTACTATAACTATAGTTGTAGCGGGTAAAGTGGAAAACTATTATTGTTATGTGTCTGTGTGACTGTACGTAACCTACCTTTTATGAAATCAATTTCTTCTTCAGTAAATGCAGGTAATCTAGATTGAGTTAAGCCTTCCTCCTTGCTCTTTTCTTCCACAAGCTTCTCAATTATTGGATGCCATCCACCACTTTTAGAGAATATGGGATGTGCGTACATTGCCTTTAAGAAAATAATACATATCTCATTTTAATTATCTTATTGTGACGTTAAAAATCAGCTATATGTTTTTACTTCTTAGAAGTAATACTTTCTTAGATTTACGCGAATATTTGACATTTTAAATAACACTATCTTTTCGGATTTTGTCGCGGATTTCTTACCTTATCTTAGGATTTTAGAAGTACTTAAAAGTTAATTAGCTTATCTCAAATTACGAATTTTGATTTCTGCGCAATATACGTATTACGTACCATGAATTGTTTCGCTATTTCGGTCGCTTCATCTTCATTTTCATCTGCTCTTTCATACCATATATAGTGATTCGTGAGAGAAATTTTTCCTAAAATATATAAAAGTTAAGCTTCAAGCAAATTCTTTTACTCATGAAATTAAATACCTATATGTTATATGTTCAACTTCTGGCGGCCATAGGATGGATAACACAAATTGTATGATTCAGTCTATTTAATAAATTAAAATACAACATAAATCAATTTTAAATTTCGACTACTGACAATAGAACTTTCCATTGACATTTTAACAATGTTCTTTACATAATATAAGTATGTACTCACCATGACAAATATGCCTGAACTCCTCATCGTATATTCTCCAAGCCTTCGCATGAGCCAGTATGGCGTTTTTATTACATATATAGTTTCTAATCCCTGGACTTAGAACTCCTGGTGCGTGAGTTCCGGTATTATATGATATTTCACAGAAAATTAGTGGTTCATTTAGAGTTATCCAGGTTTTAACGCGGTCACCAAATAGGTTGAAAGCTACACGAGCATAATCAGCAAACCAGTCTGATACTTGGCTATTAGTCCATCCTCCTATAAAATTAAAAGTTTATTGCATATGTATAAATCGTCGACTTAGTGCTTATTTCTTTGAACTACCAATAGTTGATGAAATTTACATAAGCTATCTACTGTATATGTCAATAATATATTTTTATATATATTCTTAAAGTGAAATCTTCTTTAACCGCGATTTTCGGTAGGGGCAAAACTTATGGGTTCGCGTCACCGACATGCTACGTGTGACATGAGACGCAGCGTCATATGTTTTGATTAGTAAACAAATTATATCAAAATGTAAATAATTATTGCTCGGATTGCCAATGGATGTGAAATCCAGACCACTCATAATTTCAATTTACATATTATGAAATTTTAAGTATTTATACTATAATAAATTTTAAAATAAAACATAGTTATTTCGTACTTCTGTCAACAGTCCCCATAGCTGCCTATTTTAATTTTTCCCCTATTTTAAAACCTAAGCTTAATTTCGAAGGTTCTAGATGAAATATGTATTAGTTAGTATAAAATTCAATAATCCTGTTTTAAAAACTTCTACGGTAAATTGGTCATTTGCACAAATAAGCACTGAAACGACGAAGAGCAATCGGTCTAAAATTAACATTTATGCACTTATTTTTTTACTTTTATGGCATACAAAATATTTAAATATAATACTCGTAGAAATAGAGGGAAAAGAAAAATCACTCCTGCTTCTCTGAGCTGTGAGGAGAGATTGTAATTATTTTCCGTGCTTTTATTGATTAAACAGCACATATTGAAATAAAACTTAAAAGAAAAGAAAATGGAAAATAGAAAAATAACTCTTTAGAAAATATTGATTTTACCCAAATCCTGCAAAGATTGTGGCAAGTCCCAATGGTACAAAGTTACAACTGGTTCGATCCCTTTTTCAAGTAAAGCATCAATTAGGTCATTATAGTATCTTTTGCCATCTTCACTCACATAGTTTGCAAAACCTTTTGGCAACAATCTTGTCCAGCCTATAGAAAACCTGAAATTAAAAGCAACATACATATTACATAATAAGCAGTAGTACTCTCAATAGTAGGCTCTTCGTTCATTTTTTAAATATATAAAATGGCCTAAAAGGCTAAACAAAATACTGAGTTTATTTCGCCAGTTTTTCGTAATGGACAGTTAGCGACTGAATGTAAAAATTTTATGCTAATTAAAAATACACAAAAAAAATATATGACGCGATTTCGAATCTTCTAGATCTATTAAAATGAAAAATAGCTATGGTTATATTTCGAACGTGCAGAAAAAATACACACAAGTTCAATTATTTTTTACTAATATGTATTCGAGTAAATAAATAATTTGACGACACGTTTGGCTCAGTTTGTAGTGACCTTACTTGCTATACCACAGGTCGCGGGTTCGAGTCCTGCTGGGGGCATTCATTTGTGTTGCACCACCGTGTCCCGGAGAGCACGTAAATTGGATCACATCGGACTTTGAGAGTTAAAGGAGTAAAAAGTGCATTGATGCCTGTGCGTACACTTGTGCACTATAATATCTTTTGCGCAGTGGCTAGTCTCAAGGAGATTGGCTGCCGTGGCCGAAATCGTTAAGGAAGACATTATTGCTATCATAATAATTATACGTATAAGATTTCCTATTAATGAAGCAGTATTAATCCCTCCACGACCGCGGACACGCCGGCGTGTCAGTTAACAATAGATTTCATAGAATTTTAATTAATTTCTTAGAAATTTACCTGGAGGTGTTAAATAATATAGATAGTGATTAGTGATAAAGTAAATCATTAAAAACGTAAATCTACCTATGTGGATGCATTTATAGCGATGTTATATAAATTTTAACATAATATGTCAAAAAACATTAAATTAATGAATATTTTTTCAAATTTAATATTATGTTGTAACACGTGTTGAGTATATCTCTAGTTTTGCCAATCCTCTTATTTTTAATTTTTATTTTACATAGCAATAAAGTTTTAATTTATAGGTCGAAAAGTGATGACTGATGTACCCTATATTTTATGGAAATTTATAGAAACGGTTTTTTTTAACAAACTCATTAAATTAAAGGTTGTAAAACTGACAAAATTGTATCAAAAATAAAAATATGTGAATGAGTTTTATTAGATTTTTTATTTAATTGCTCTTGTTCAATCAATAAATTATTTATAATCAATAAAAATATTTTACCTATAGAAATGGAGGCCTAATTCTTTGGCAATTTCAACATCTCTCTTCCAATGCTTATAGCTATCACACGCTACATCTCCTGAGGACCTATCTGCGATTCTACTCGGATCAGAATGGACGAAGTGATCCCAAATATTTTCAGATTTATCTGACAAATGAAAAATTGTAAAAGATATTGTAAGCGAGATAAAAGTAGATTAATGTTGATTGAAACCAAATTTTAGTTTGTTAATGAAAGAAAGATGGTAGATATTTGAGAGGCTAAAAATAAAAGAAACTCACCGCTAACATTCCACGCCCCTTCTACTTGGTAGGCGGCTGTCGCTGCACCAAACTTAAAGCCTGGCGGAAATTGATAACTCTGCACTGCGCTTGCGCAGACTATACTGTAAATATAATTATGTTGAATAATGTTAATATTTTTAAATTTATCGTATCGGTAGATTATTTATTTATACGGGGTGGTTATTTATTTATGTGGTATTATGTGAGAAAAATTGTAATTACTTTTTACTAAAAAAGAAACACTAGCTTAAAAATAACATATATGTAAGTATTTATTCCATCGTTAGAAGTGATGAGACAGGTACTAAACTCTAGCATTTTCTCTCTTTGAGATGGTCAAAAACGCCTCAATCTTAATAAGAACTGACGAAAGAATGTTTCATCAAGAAGGTTTATGTTGCAGTAACAATAACAGTCAGACGGAAGATAGGTTTTCATTTTTTTTAACATAATACATCCATTATTATGTAAAAAATATGACGTGATAATTTATAAATGTTAATAATTGTTTTTATCTACATTACATATTGCTTTATTAAACTACTAGCGAGTCACCCTCGCTTCGCTTGGGTTCGTTCCTAGGTTGATTCCCCATACAAACTCTCGTAACCATTCTCACCCCTTTAAGGGATAATTTCCGGGATAAAAAGTATCCTATGTCCGTCCCAGGGTCTCAAACTATCTTCTTACCAAATTTCATCTAAATCGGTTTAAGTAGATCCAGAGATTACCCCCTTTTTTTTTTTTTTTTAACGTTGGGAAATGCATTTACGCACGACGTGTGACTACTCACCGGCGTAATACAGCCAGTACTACCCACTAAAACCCAACAAAACCTTCCCCCGTCTTAATGGGGCGTCGCAGGATCGCTTACGCATTCAACTACGACGCCCCGACGGCAGGTCTGCCAAAGCAGACCACCACAACCATGGGGTTGCTCCAAGGTCCACTCTGCTATCAGAGAAGTACCAGGAGCAACCCGCAAGGTACACCGCCCCCCGAAGAGGGCCACCTCCCACCGCCCACCGAAGTGGGCATCCTCCCTGTGCGTTTCTTAGCTTCGCTACTACTACTGAGCCCCCCCACCACGACAAGGTGAACGCACGTTGGGGGAGGGGAGATTACCCCCTACAACGTCACAAACTCACAAACTTTACCTCTTTATAATATTAGTACCTGGGCCACCAATCTTGGCTCGGAGTTTTTGTTCAAAAGTACAATTTTCTTTAAAAAAAGAACAAAAAACTTGAATAAATATAAAAAAAGAAATTATACTTTTGAATCCGGCCGGGATTCGAACCCGGACACCTATTCAATCTTGCGCCTTGGCCGCTTGACCACGATGCTTATGCCCGAGCGTGCGAAATTATCGAACATAATATTTTGCGTGGAATAATGCAAAAGAAAACCGCATGAAAACACGCGTTTTCCCAGACATAACACTAATCTAGATCGATTTATCGATCGATTATCGGGGGCGCAATATATAGTCGGTAATTTTACACGCTCTTGCATAAGCATCGTGATCAAGCGGCAAAGCTGCAAGATCGGCAATCATAGAATTCGAATCGAAATTCGTTCGAATCTTGGCCGGATAGAAAGTTTTTACTTTTGTTTTTTTTTGTTATTTTTATTACCAGCATGTTTTTCTATAAAAAATATTAGGAATTCCTAGCTTAAATAAAAAATAAAGTAAAAAAATATAATTTTAAAAGAAATATAATGATTTTACTAACCATAATGCTGTCTGCCACCACATATTTGATACTGTAAATTGCTTGGACTGGTAAATTACAATCACACGCTTATTCAGTACTGATGGCGATGGCACCTTTCGTTTTATTTATAAACACTTCGTTTAAAGTATTCGCAATTTTATCTTTATGCGAAATATTACTCGACATTCTTCAATAATAATAAAATAAACAATGTGCCTTACAAACTACTATTATATTATATGCGATTTGTCTGTGTGTATGTGTGATTTATAAGTTTAGTACAAAAATTGACGATCTAAATTCTAGAGTAACATAATAAGGCTTCTGTAGGGCACCTAGGGATGCAACTACTAGGGAGGGTAATAATATTTTTTTTACTAAAAAAAATATACCAACATCAAAATTAGCTTAATTGTTCATTAGAAAAAGAAAAAATAATTAGAAAATTAACGAAACCAAATACAATCGCATAACGTACATAAAATATAGTGGTTATACGAGTTCATGGTTATCTGTTTTTGAATCTGACTAATAATTATTAATGTCCGATAATCCAAAAGCAAAATGAGGATCGATAATCTTTATATCTTACTATCTAGATTTATAAAATACCTAAACGGCGTGATCAATTTTGATTCTTTTTTTGTGTATAGTGTTTTGTGTATCTTAGCTACAATCAGATCCGGTAGGTGACGATAATGTTTAGATTTTTTAAGAGTACAAATAAAGTTGACATTTGACTTATAACATTGACGTATAAAATTATAGGAAAATATTTACTGATTCATTGCTTATTATCAACATTTTCAATGAATTGCTCGAGTCATCGTAAAGATTAAAGCTGTTTAATTTTTAAAATATATAAAATTATATATGTTACATTAAAAACTTTGACAGAGGTTTTGTTGTCATTTGCGAAAACTTCTGTGATAGCATTTTTAACAAACTATTTAATGACAGTTATTCATACGACTCGGGCCGGAAGTGGATTTAAATCCCAAGTCTCGCACCTCTGATATTTTCAGGTGCGAATCATTTCCAACGTGATTACCACTTGCCTTGCGGTGAAGGAAAACATCGTGAGGAAACCTGGACGTCTGACAGAACATAGTAAGTTTTCAAAAGACATGTGTACGTAGTCCGCCAACCCGTACTTGGCCAGAGTTCCAACCAAGGTCTGATCCCCCTTGTATTGACGGAAGGTCCTCGCCCAGCAGTGGGACGTTAAAAAGGCTAAATACAAGGCTTCTGAAGAGATTTTCGTATTAATGTGTTGTATTCTAGCAAAACTTGCATGCAAGTTGGTAATATTATGTTGTTTAAACGATTGTAAGTCGACATTTAAACGAGCAACTGTTGAGTTTTATGCTAGCCTTTCTCAACAGAACTGAATTCCGGGCTGGTGGTCAACAACAAATACTCTTTTTATCCGATTGTGACGAAACCCGGAGGGTTATGTATTTGATCTTATTGATGTATATATATATATATATATATATATATATATATATATATATATATATATATATGAAATTATTAAAAAGCAAATTAGAAATAAGGGAACAAGTTTAAATAAATATGTCAGGACGTTAACACACAATACCATCTAGTTCCATGGTAAGCTACGAGATGGTAAGCTGGCTTGTGTTATGGATACCAGATAGTTGATACACTATACATATATAACTTTTAAATACATACATATTATAAATATAAACACGCATAACTGGAGTACAAACATTCGTGCTTATCACACAAATGAATAACCCCAGCGGGACTCGAACCCGCGATCGCTGGCGCAACAAGTAGGGTCACTACAAACTGAGCCAAACGTGTCGTCTTAGTTAGCGAAGGAAATAGTATTATGCAGTCGGAGACAAACATACACGTAGGCTCGCAACAGAAACATCAATTATATATGTCCCCGATTGCATAAGACCTACGTACCTACTATGTTTCTTTGCTAACTTGTTTACCTTAAGTTTATCCTCTACCCTTAAGTTGCCTAGCAGAGATCTTAGCGATAAGGCAGTCTGTTGTGCCATAATATCTTTTTAGATAATTTTTTGTGCTTAATTTATATGGAAATGGTGTACAATAAAGAATTTTTTACGTTATTTTTTATTACTTAAAAAAAATTGCTTCAAACTATTTATTCTCTTCTTTCAAACGCTTTCTCTCTATTTAATTAAATAGTTTTCTTAGTACTGTACATAATGATTTAATAGTAAAACACATTTAATAGAAAAATTATCGAAATTATTGTTTAAGGGCTTTTAATTTAAAAACATAGATGTTACCTTGTACTGTTAAATAGTAGCACTATTTATGTGATACAAGATACTAACTATTAAATATAGCACTTATTTTTAATTATAGAAAAAAACTAAAACAGTATCAACTGAAAATAATATTTTTTTAAACAAATTAAATAAATAAAGAATGTTAACATAAATATTTAACAAAATATGTTAATACTGGTTTAGGAGAAAAATAATATTGTTAAATAATAATAAAAAGACTAGATTTATGTATTTACATTAAATACATTTAATGTTAAATAATATACTTGTCTTTGCAAATTGGGAAATGTACATTATAGTGCGAAGCATAATAAGTAATAACTTTTAACATATTTTAACAAATTTTTACATATTTAAGTTTTTATCAAGATAAGTCATATATCTTGATAAAAGTTAACTTGCAAGCTTAAAAAATGACAATATCATCATTTTCATTAAATAACACATACATACACTAAACGTTCCCATAAGTATTTACTTCGAACTAAAAGTGTCAAAGACACATATTTGCCTTAATCGGTAATCGAATCCAGTAATATAAACATGGTATAATAAATTAAAATAAATTTAATTAGTATAGTCTATTTGGTGTTATATATTACTATCTTTTATATCAAGAGAGTGGTGCTTAATCACATTCGAGTAGTAGTACGCAGAGGCGCGAGGGTGGCGTGTGCGTTCTGAGTCTTCAAAATCCACTTGATAAAGACCAAATTTAGCCCTGGAAACATAAAAAATAATAATTAATAATATATATATATATATATTGATAAAAAAATCATTCTATTTTTATCCTTATTGTACGTGTTCAGCCTTTTTTAACATCCATTGCTGGGAAAGGACTTCCCTTCAATTCAAGGGAATCCATCAATAATCAAATAGCCTACCAGACGTTCAAATCTTTCGAAAACTTGTAACGTTCTCTCAGGCATGTAGGTCACAATGTTTTCCTTCACCGTAAGGCAAATGGTAATAATTTTGAAAAATGATGCCAACATAAGAATATCAGAGATGTGAGACCCGGGATTTGAACCCGCTTCACATGGTTTTCCATCAAGCGCGTTAGCACTGCTGGCTTTAGATATTTCATCCACTCCATTCATTTCATTGTTATCCTTATTGTTATCATATTGTAAAGTAAGATCCTTATTATTTAATACTAACGCCTTTTAGCAAATTCTATTACTAACAAAATAGCTCACCTATATTAAAATACTAACGACTCCTTCTCTTCGAGCGGCTTTGTTGTCATATGATCGTAATTAACTCATATTACTTTACATACCTTTGTGTTTCTCGAGGTCATGGTCTGTTTATGTCGGTACTAAATTCCATCCCAATCAGTTCAGACGTTCCAGTGTGAATAACAAACATACACATATACAAGCATTCGCATATATAACAGTAGTCCCTTTTAAGGAGACACAATATTTCGCAGAATAGATGTTTTAATGGTTTTAATGACACCATGTAAAGTAAATTTTCTTACTCGTATCCATCAGTCCATTCGAAGTTATCAATCATAGTCCAAGCTGTGTATCGCGTCACATTGATACGGTCTTCATTGATGGCAAGTAGAATCTGCAAAATAATTTTATGAGTTATCAAGAGAGAAAAGGAATTTCTAGATGACTTAATTCGCGCACTGCATACCCTGCGTGTAAGTCTTTTATAAAAAAAATCATCTTTTGACTTTAATTTCGTAAGAGCTGAGTACTGTAGTCGTAACGACTGTAAAAAGACCGCTCACTGGTAAAATATCTAAAAGAATCGCTTTAATGTTCTACGTCACTGAAAACAGTATCAGCCAAAGTGATACTAAAGAAAAATATGAGTAATTAAGTTTCTAATTCAAAATTAAAATTCACCTGTTCCAAGTGTTCATTGTAATATTGGACACGGTCGTCATCATCCAAAGTGGAATTGTAATTAGCATAACCATTTTCCATAATGTATATTTCAATATCTCCATACTGTTCTATCAGCCATTGTATTTGTAGACGAAGACCTTCGGGGTATATCTGAAAGGAAAGGCATATTTAAGTGGTAACAGTTCAATGTTTTTTTTTTTAATATAATTTTAGCCTAGTAAAAAATCGCGTTGATTTTAACAGAGATATCGTCAATTGCAAGGGTTGTTAAAAAATTTAGTGCAAAGCAGTTTCGAAGTAAACTGCTATACGTTAATTACGCGTTAAGTTACATCTTTGTTGACGACACGTTTGGCTCAGTTGGTATGGGTGTTTATATTCGTAATATGTTTATATTTAAATATATGTGTGTAGTTTATCAACTACCTGATATCCATAACACAAGCATCGTGCCTTGCCTAAAAGAAGATGGTGCTGTGTGCTAATGTCCCAACATTGAGCATATTATTTATTTATTATTTATTTAGGCTAAAATTTTTACCCCAATGTCATATAAAACTCAGTTTAAAAGGACAACTCTTGAGTTTCTCTTGGGCTCTTCTCAACAGAACTGCCTTGAGCCTTTACGGTGGTGGTAGACACCTTACGGACTTCCATTTTGACATTTAATTTAATTTTTAAGAAAAGAGGAGTGACGATCCCAAAGATCTTGTAAAAGTCTATTAGAATAAAGTATATTTCGGTTGTGATTTGATATGACAGTTCATCGTTTATCAGATCATTTGCATTTAAACCCGAACACCACACAATTGCTATGTGTAGTTGCATTCGTTAGACGACTATAGAATATATTATTTTTACTAGTGA